TGTGGGTCCCGTATGGGGGGGTGGGGGGGGGGGGGGGGGGAAGGAGAGAAGGGGGCACGGGAAGGTAAGAGTATGAGGGGGCACATGTGTATTTCTGTGGGTGGGTGTGCGTGCATGTGTCTGTGGGCACGCGTGTGCGCATCCCACCCACAGCATGTCCAAACATGTTCCCCCCCCCCCCCCAGTCATACATGCAGGGTCTCAGGGTATGTATGTGTGTGTGCATGCATGCAGCCCATCCCTTTAACCCCTCCTTCCACCGGGTGGAGAATAGAAAGAAAATTAGTGTATCTGATGTGGCATTTCCAGAAAGCTACATGCTGTGAATGTTCTGAAGCTAAGCTACCAATTGTAACTGTCACATTCATTGCAGCACCTGATTTGGGGTCCAACCCTGTAGTGTGCTAAGAGCTTTCAACATCTATTGATTTTAGTGAAAGTAAAAGGCATTTTGTAAGATCAGGCCGCCAGTTTCTGCCTGAAGCTACTGTGTGAAAAGGCACAGAATCATAGAAAAACAGGGCTGAAAGGGACCTCCGGCAGATATGACTTTTTCCTAAAATACCCTTTCCACATTCTTCTGCCATCTGTGAGCCTGCCATGTTAGAAAGTGCTGGGAGCTGAATTAAAAAAATTGGGAGATAGCAAATAAAGCTTTGCATATGCCTGCCTCCTGAGGGCAAGAAGGTTCCAATCTTATCTTCCCATCATCACAATAATTAGAAGGAAGAAATGGAAGACATGGGGGGGATGGGGGGCTTCAGTATTTCTGTGTGGTCAGAGGGTGCCAACAACCTGAAGCAATTAAGCCTGAACTGTATGGTCCCAACTTTACCTACAATTTTATGTAGAGTTTTTGGATGTTAAGTATCTCTCTGCTCTCCATATCCGAGATATGTGGGACATGGGTAGGAGATTGCTGGTGCTCCCTTGTGCCCCAGGGATCTCTGTCTGTTATAGCAGTTTGCTAGAAACAGGCATAAAGTATAGCTTCCTGCAGAACTGACATGTGGCCCAAGATTTGGAAGAGTATGAAGCCTCCTGAGCACCAAGAAGCACTCCTAGGCCACAGCCAGGCATCTGAAGGCTGACCTTCATTGAGTTCACATTTCAGATAAATATTATTTGATCAGCTCTAATTACTCATTACATTTTTCATGTGAATAGTTACATTAAGTTTATTCATCAAAAGATAAATACATTATCCACAAATAAAAAAAACTCTACTATTTTACCTGTGCTGTGGAGAGCTGAATTATTTTCTTCAAATGAATTATTCACCATTTTTGGACATGAATCAGAATTGTAAAGATAGAAAAGAATAATGCGAAGATGTATAGCAGTTCTCCTTCAATATGCATTTCATTCACCAGTCACTTAAAAAAAAAAAGCTGGAAATTTATGCGATTAGTTTTTACTCCCCCCAGACAAGCCCCCATGAAGACAACATGAGTAATCTTGCGTTTCAGGTTCTTCCATGGATAGAGGTTTGCAAGGACTGGGCCCTTAATGAAAATACCTAGAAATATAATTATACGTTATACATTTCTCCCTTTTAAAATTATCTAGTGTTCACTGCACTAATTAATTTTAATATTAAGTGAGAATAGATGTTGAATATTTAACCCAAAATGTGATTACTTTAACTTGTCTTTTCTCCATAATACAGAAAGGGAATTTAAGAGTTAAAAAAAATTTTAATTAGGTATTTGCTTGCCGCTTGTAAGATAAAAATGCTTGTACCACCTGGTGTTTTTTTAAATGAACATTATCAAAATGTATTTCAACTGAGAAGCATAATTTGGGTGTCCTTTCTTGGCAGAAAGTCATTCCCTTCTCAACATGCCACCCTGGCAGCCTTCGCAGCTGTGTACGTTTCAGTAAGTAATCAACACTGTTCATTTTATTTTGTGAGAGAAAAATCAGAATGTCATTTGCTGCCCATCAAAGTGACTAGGTTTAAATTGTTGCTTAATGTAGTAGTAGTAGTAGTGATATAAATGCACCTGACTGCAAGAAGAAATTACAAAGAATTAAAATAAACTTGGTACTATCAAGGAAGAGCTAAAGTTGTTCCATCTATTCTGTTCTCTAATAACATTTCCTTCATAGTGAAGTGTAGCGTTAAAGCTTATTTAGTGTTGCATATTTTGTACACATAAGATATGATGCTTGCTTGCCTTAAGCATAGATTTTTAAGTTTACTATGAAAATAAATCTTAACATGTTCACCCTTTTCCTCTCCTCCTGTTTTTCCTCAACATATAGCACCCAAACTCTAAACATTAAAGGACAAGTCCATCCATGGTGCAGCTTCATTGCTTCAGCAGAATTACCCTAGGGGTAAATTTGGTCAGTGTGAATAGCTCTACTTGTAAACAGCAGTTGGATTGTACTACTTATAGTAAACTGCACTGAATTTAAATTTTTTCAATCTAGGAGGAGCACAAGTCTGTCCAAAGGAAGTCAGACTGTTTATGTGAATAACAGGAATATCTGGAGTTACAATAGTTAATGCAAACACAGTAAGAGAAGGAAGATTAAACCCCAGATTTCAGGGCTTAAACCAGTTTCTATAGGATCTGACATGTTGTGTATTTGTATAGGGTTTTTGACAATGGGTCCCTCATCTGTGACTGGGATGCCACCAAAATGCAGTACAAATGAATAATAAATAACAGCAACAATTATATACATATACATGATTTTGAGGGCATCTGCTTTTACAACAGAAGGACCATTATCATGAGCAGACTATGAAAATCACACCATATATTGAAATTAGCTGGACTCTAGGTTCTGCAGCCTGTATGTATGCATACATACACACACCCATACACACAATATATTACCAATCCCTTGCAGTCAAGGATGATTGTCTTCTACGGCTGTGTGAAATTTAGCTGGCTGTTTCGTTTCAATGCTGTTTTGACTCGTTTCAAGCTTGAAACAACCAAATCAAAATGAAACGAAGGGCTTCAAAACAGCCTTGAAATGAAATGAGGCCAGTTGAAACATTTCAAAAGTTTGAAATCATTTCAAGTTTCAGAGCAGCAGGCAGGCAGTGGGAGGCAGGGCAGACCCAGGGCTGCGATGCCAGTGGCT